CGGGCGCGCTGCTGCCGCAGTGTGCGGACAGCGCGGCCACGGTCGGTCCTTGCCGGCCGTCCGACAACAACTCATGAACATTCTGACTTCAGATGACATAACATGAACATAAGAACTGATTTAAACTGAAAACATGAATTTTGGTCAATGGACTGAACTTGGCCGCGGCGGACGCACCGTGCGCCGCCGACGGCGTTAAGCCGTTTCACGACCTAACCTCATTTTCTCTCGGCAAATCAACCTCATCTGAACATGATCAATATTTACTGAATAAAATAGCACGATATACTCGATGGATTTGAACTAAACATACTCAACGCACATGCACGGCCCGTGGTGCGCTATATGCGCGACCACGTTCCCTTGGCCGAACACCGCAAAACATGAATAATCCTCCGAAGACTTAAGCTAATCTGAACATGATATTACATAAAATAGCTAAACGGGTGAAGGATGTTCGGAGAATTCAACTTTAAACATGACATGACTCGTCACGGCTTCTCGCACGGCCTTAACGATATATGACACGCATGTAAGCCTAAACTGAAAACTGAACTCAATAAACGTGATAATCTCAGCCTGCAGGAAATTTACCTCCGATTATGCTCAACTGACGGCAATACTTCGGATTCCCGTGTTCGTGTGGCTCTCCGCGAGCGATGCGTCGCCGTGCGTTTGCCTTGCGGCGTAGCGTGCGATGGCTTGCGATGCGACTGACTGCCGTGCGTGTGTGCTGACTGCCTTGGAGTACTCCTTCAAATTCTCACAACCCTCAACTTACCTTTCTAGAGCATGCGTATATATATATGAAGGACTTAGTTATATGAGGAGAAAATATGGAAAATTTTCCCCAAACACTCTTCTTTAAATACACCCGGCGCCGAGAGGGGAAAAACAAGAGACCTTGGTGGCCATTTCTACTAATGACACTTGGAGTAAAACCAAGTATTCTTAGGTGACTAATCACCTAATTATGCCACCTAATGACACGTATAAACTCAAAAGAGGAATTATTTCCTATAATGAAAAGCTACGACATTTGGGATTAAATTTCCCATTTGGTACGACTTTAAGCTTAAGCTTGTGATTAATTGATCATTAATCACTTAATTATGCTTAATTATTTAATTAAATATAATGCTTAATTACCAAAATTATTCTGAACATAAACGGAACGTCGAAAATAATTTCCGGTAATCTCGACTGAAATGACTGAAATAATTTAATTCCAAAAATAATATCAGAACTAAAAACATAATTTATACTGATAAACTGACGGGATATTACAATCCTCCCTCCTTACAAATTTCCCAATCCTCGGAAATTCAAAACATAGCTGAAAATACATGCACTATGTACATAAAACAAGAAAATATGTACATCAAAACTGAAAATCTGGAAAACGAGCGCGAACATCGGACTCCGCCTCCCAAGTAGCTCCGTAGCGATCCCACTGAATACGCACGAGGGGAACATCTCGCTTCCGGAGCCGACGGACCTGACGGTCTAGTACAACTACCGGTCGCTCCTCGTACGAAAGATCTGGCTGAACCTGAATATCTGAATGGGGAATGACATGATCGGGGTCGCACACGTACTTACGCAACATAGATGCGTGAAAAACATTATGAATGCCTGATAACTCGGGAGGTAGGGCTAATCGATACGCGACCTCGCCTACTCGCTCGAGAACCTCGAACGGACCGATGAATCGAGGGTGCAACTTTCCTCTCTTTCCGAATCGAACAACTCCGCGAATCGGACGAACTCAGAGAAAAGCTGGCTCACCAACCTCGAACTGAATATCTCGTCGATGATGATCGGCTGAAGATTTCTGTTGACTCTGAGCTGTCTTGAGTCTCTGCCGGATCAACTCGACCTGATCAGCTGTCTCCTCGATCAACTTGGGACCGAGTACTCGTCGCTCTCCGACATCGTCCCAATAAAGAGGGGAACGACACTTGCGACCGTAAAGTGCCTCGTAAGGAGCCATCTGAATAGAAGAATGATAGCTTTTGTTGTACACGAACTCGGCATACGGCAATAATGACTCCCACTTAGCACCCCTGTTAACGATCAAAGCGCGAAGCATATCCTCAAGCGTCTGAATAGTCCGCTCTGACTGACCGTCTGTCTCCGGATGGTAGGCTGAACTGAACTCTAACTTCGTGCCCATCGCCTCGTGTAAACTGTGCCAGAATCGACTGACGAATCTGGGATCTCTGTCTGATACAATAGTAACGGGCACTCCGTGGAGTCGGATGATCCCACGGGTATATATCTCAGCCAACTTATCCAAAGATATCTTCATCGAAACGGGTAAGAAATGAGCGACCTTAGTCAATCTGTCGACCACGACCCAGATAGCGTCGTGATGTTCAGACGACCTCGGCAATCCCGTAACGAAATCCATCGTGACTTTCTCCCACTTCCACCTCGGAATCGGCAGTGGCTGTAGGAGGCCAATCGGACTCTGATGTTC